TGCGCTATTTAGATGTTCTGCGAAAATTTTGGTTATGATTTCGTTATTTTCAAGTAGATTTCCGTTAGCCTGTAATGATTTTATTTTAATATCATCCTTCTGTTTAGTTATATTAAAAGGCAGTTTTTTATATTTTTTCAAAAGTCTACCAGAGATTTGGTATTATGAAAAAGGTTATCATAATACATTGATTCTTCTGTATGAATGCTGATTCTTATTTGTTTTGACAAATTTTTGATTTCATATTCTATTTTAGTCCATTGTTCATAAGATAATTTCTTTATTAATTCTTTGAAAAGGAATTTTTTTTGTTTAATTTTCTTGAGAGTTTCATTAATAATGATTTTCTTTAAGGAAATTTTCTTTTTAAATGTATTAATTTCTAAATGTTTTTCTGGAAGGTATTTGTTAATGAATATTAATAACATAGACATTAGATAATATGTGAGTTCATCCACTGAAAGATCTCGTGTAATAATAATTCCAAGAGAAACAGGAAAGAAGAGCACCCTGTAATAATTTTATTGATGAGTTGTTTATTTTGCGTCATTTTATAAATCTTTTTCCTCCTTTCACTGTGTCTTTATCAGGAATAAAGACAAATAAAAGAATATCAATCAACAAAAGAAAAATAACATTTATGGAAAACTGCAAAGGTAATGATAATTGAACAAAAAATGATGAAAAATGTTAAGTGTGGATGTTAGAAATTTATTCTAACTCTTCATATCCTGTGAGCATTAAGAAAGTTTTTTAAAGAACGAAACATGGATTTGGCTATATCATAATGAAGTTACAAAGGTAGTCCAATATATTGGCCAAACATTTGTGAGAATTTCTGAAAATGTCTGGCTTGGATTCTCAGAATTGTAGATATACCTTTAACTGGAAAATATAATTAAAGATGAACAACAAAAATTTGTTAAATTCTTTACGATATATGCTTTGTAGCATCTTGTCATCTATTTGAATAAGTTTTCATTAGAATACAATGATCATTATGGTGCAAGACAAAGAGTTAAACATTATTATTGATGTGAGGGACGAATAGACCCTTAATAAAGTGTTATTTTAAATTTTAATTATTGAAACATTCCATCATCTAAATTCGAGCGTTAGGCTAAAAGCCATAAAAATTTATTTCCCATGGAGTTGGTTCCTTGTTGAGGAGGATCCAGCTAGTCAGCGATGTGTCACCCGGAACTTTCAATAAAGGACCCATATTGGACGCCAGACCATTAAAAACAACCACCTGACCTCATGGAAAAAACCCAAGAGGAATAACAAGAGAAAACAGAAAAAACACCCAAGGTCAGTCGTCTTCCAATGTCCGTCCACCAAAGTCGTCCTCCCGGATTAATACCATGACCAAGACTCCAGAATTAATTCCGTGCCTCTTTAAGGATATCATCCTGACTTCCGTGCCTTCACACCTCTGGGATCTTGTTAACGGACAAGACCCAGAATCATTCTATCGAACATTCCATTGGCGTCAACAGTGTCATCTGACCACAGATCTTTGACCCAAAAGAAAGGTATTTATCAACCCACGATTCGTTTGTAAACTCTCTCTCTCGAGTGGCTTAGTATAATTAGGGGCTATGACAGAAATCGAATATATCTGTATTTTCTTTAGTACTTATTAAAATTGTTATTTATTTGTTACTATGGAGTCCGAGTGAGTCACTTCCTTGTCTCTCTCCTCACCTCTACTTCGAATCCAACCGCTCACCTGCTACCGCTCGCTTGACATAACGTCGTGATTTCCGAGTCCTGCGAGACTCGGTGGTGTCACATCCTGACGTGATGTGACGTGATCCTATGGTCACATTATATTATTAGACAATATTATTCTACAAAATATAATGAGAGTTAGGCAGTTTGTGCAAATGCCAAAAATGTTTGGCATACATGATAGTTTATAACATATGTGACAAAGTACCAGTGGCGTACCGTGGGGAGGGCGGCAGGGGCGGCCCGCCCCGGGCGGCACTTTTTAGGGGGCGGCAAAATTACGTCTTAGGGGCGGCAAAGTGAAACCTGTTGACCTTTTTTTTTTTTTTTTACTTGTACAATTCATTCGTGTTAATATCCACCGCTAATATCCAATATAGCTATTTTGAACAGGTCGCTGCACTACCTCCGAAATTTTCATTGCTTGTTCTGTGACAAACTGAATTTTGGTCTTATAAATTGAAATACCTAAAGGGGCGCCGGAATTTTCCTCCGCCCCGGGCGGCTGACACCCACGGTACGCCACTGCAAAGTACAAAATAAGTAATGTGCAAATGGTAATTAAGTATATAAAAGGAAAAATATCTAAAGATAAGTAAGCAGAAGGAGAGAGAAATATAAAATATATTAATAAAAAAAGGGGGGAAAGAAAAAATTTGTTAGTTGGCTTAAGTCATTTTGCTATCTCTAAGTGTATCCTGATCTTTCTTTTACATAAGCAAAGTTGCTTTACTGTAATTTCCAGCAGTAGATTCAAATTTGCTTAAGCTAATTAATTCCAAAAAGTTCTTATCCTGATGATCCAACAGTTCTTGGTTTTACCAATCAATATTCAAGCCATTCATATGTTCAACATTATATGAAAGCATTTTCCTTTTTTTTGTTTCTTTTTCATTAACCAAAAAAGCAATATGTACTGTATCCATCTTGCCTAAATAGTCTGCTTTTGTTATCTCATACAACCATGTTGATTATTATGACAATACCAAAGATTTCCTTTTAATAACTTTAAAACATATAAACTTAAACTGGTCAACCAGTGATGACTAGCCAATATAAAATAAAGGAAATGAAATAAGAATGTGATAAAGAGAAGGAAAGACAAAGAAACACATAGTACTAAAATTACAAAAGCAAATAGATTTTATAGCAGGAGAAAGAGAGATAAATTTATTAATTATAAAATCAAAAAATGTAGGAAAATGCTGGAATTAAAAAATGTCTTTAGCAAATATTTTGATGTAAAATGTATATGAATTTCATTTATTTTTAATAATTCTGTAAATAATTTATCAACTATTTATACTCTTCTCTAACTGCACTTCATAAAAACAACTAAACTGGAGAGTGGGCAAAATATATTTATATTATGCCCACATGGAGAGCGGGCATAATATAAATATATTAGTAGGCAGAAGGGATGGTTTAAAGAAATAGGCACAATTGTGGCCTTTTTATGTTTGCAGTTATGTTACTTTATTTACGTATTTATTTATTTATTCATTCATTTATTATATTTGTATCTACCATATATTTCCTCAGATAAGATGATAGTTGAATCATAAAAAAAGGTCCTCAAAATTCAGGGTCATCTTATAGGACAGATACAAAAAAATTAGATTGAAATTTATATAAATTAAAATCATTACAAAAAAAGGAAAAACCATACTTACTTACTAGAAGAGAGTAGGTTGTGTCCACAAAATAGAATAGCCTATAGCCTATATGACGTTTTGTGAATAGTCAAGGTCATTACCTGAATGCCCAAATCATTGTGAATGTTTGCAACAATTGCAATGCTGCCAGATGCAAGAAAATAAAATTTGTTCATTTGAAAAATTACGAATAGGACATAATTCTGTACACGTTATACGGTATTATTATCCAGATGATGATCGCTGATCGAAACTAAATTCATAGGCCGTTGATAGTTTAGGGGTCGTCTTATGGGACAGATATATGCTAAAACTGTAAAACTTTGATGAAATTTATACCTTGTCTTATCTGAAGGTTGTCTTATCTGCAGAAATATATGGTACTTTATTTGTATATTTGTACGTGTTATTATTGCATATATATTGTAATTTTATATTTATGAGATTGCACACTAGAAAGTTCAATTTTAAAAATGTTCCAAAACAAAGTTCATTATATACAAATTGGAAGCATTTGGTTTTTGTTCTTGAAGAAAGTCATTAAAAATGATTGAAAGCATTCGAAGAGATAATAAAACAGCTGCATATTAAAAGGTTTTGTTTGAGATTTAGTTATTTCAACTATTTATATGTGAATCTTTAAAATGTTTCTTCAAATGAGCATAAAGAAGTCATATGACATTGAAAAAACATTTTTGACTAGAAACTGTTAAATCATTACAAATCATGTATGGCTGTTTAAAAATATTTTTTCATTCTAAAAGAAGTTATTAATTATTTTGAGAATGAATAAATGCACATTTGTATGAAATAAATTCCATTACAACAGTAAATATAAACTAGAAGAGGGAACTGTTCTTAATAAGAACATAAATAATTGTATAAAATATGTTTATTCTTATACAAAAAATTTTTTTGAAGTATTACTCTACAAATCAGTGAAACATTAAAAACATATAAACTGAAATTTTAATACATTTAATATGCAGAGATTGATGACAATGATAAATCCTCATTAATACTATAAATAAAAATTATGATGACATGAAATAGTAAAATCTTATTAAAACAAAATTAAATCAAGCTTTGAAACTGTTTTCATTAAACTGAAATTATGTTATAAATTAAGATCAATTTTAAATAAACATTTAAAATTACAGAATATTAATCAATCAGGTTAACTTAATATTATAACAATAACATTAATCTGATGATTTTGTTTAATATAATCAGACTAATATTTTATTATAATTTATTGTAACATGATTTATTATATCAGTTTTATAGTTTCAGTAACAAATAAATTATTAAAAATAATAATAATCCAGGATAAAAAATTTATTTAAAATATGCACAATTTGAAGACAAACAGAAATAATTTGAAATGTTCTTAGTTAATTGTGTTCCTTTGGTATGAAATGAATACAGTAAGAATACTAAAGTAGTTTTTATATTTGTCTTCAAATTGCATATATTTTTAAGATAGAAAAACATATCTGAAAGACATTTATTAATTTTTAATAAAGGAAAACAAATTCAATAATTTCATTTTAAAATTTCTTTTAATAATTCAAAATTTTGATTTAATTTTATTGATGAAATTATATAGTTAATTAATGATATAAATGTATCAATATAATATATATATATACCAGATACTGTACATACAATTTTCACTTGAATTTGAACTTAAGGAACATGATATATATTCACAGTTTCTATCATTAGCAAGTTGTTGATTAAATAAAAAGCTAGGAGAATAATATATCTGAAAAAAAGATATTTATTTATAAATTAATTCTAAGTCAAAGTTATTTAAACATTTTTTTAAATTGTACATACATATTACTGTAATAAATATAAAAATTTCTATACTGTAGTTTTAAAAAATGAGGCAAATAAACCAAAATTATAATGATGTTATCTTTAGTTTTGAGTAATTTTATTATTTACAAAAGTATGAAACATTTCATAGTTAAGCTATTGTTTTAAATGTACAGTACATGTGATAATCTGGGGCCAATACTGTTTGCTTAAATTGATTTTGGTTGTTAAAATTTTTAAATTTAATCAGTTTGTTTTGTTTGTAAAATTCAGATTATGAAACCAAACAAAAACTTTTTGTTTGTATTACAGTTATGAGTCAGAGAGAATTTCTTTCAATTTTGAAGGAAGTTCCTTCAAAATTGAAATGTTGACTTTGATATCAACTCAACAAGGAAGTTCCTTGTTGCTTCTCTCCTCAGGGACTGGAATTGTCCGAGACTATTAGACAACTAAGATTCTGTAAATAGGACCAAACACAAATGCCCAAAGCAAAGCGAACTGGAAACTGAACTCAAGAAAGTTCGTGTCTAAACTGAAAGAGTTTCCTGCCAAATGCAGGAAATCGAAGCCAGCCCCACTAATGATTCAGAAAAAAATAAGGAACCAAAATGAGGTATTATATTTAACTCAAATAAATAAACTCTGTCTCTCTCTCTTGTCAGAATAGACTTACGGGTTAGAATTAGATATCCTTCCATACTTGATTATCAAACCTAACCATTTTGTTCTTATAGTTTAAGATACTCCATTTAATGTATATATGATAGTTATGGTTTTGTATAATAAATATATAGTTATATCCTAAACTGTCATTTAGATTGATTTAATGCCTAACTCCATTGTCGGCCCACATATTTACGTAACTAACAAAATTAATGTTGTTAACATTTAAGGTAAACCCTCCTAAAATTCTGGTCAAGTTTAAATTATATCTTCAGCCACTCGGAAGATGAGATAATAGAATCACGAGTTGAGATGTAACATTTTCTTTTTTTTCAACTGGTGTCAGAACAGACAAAGAAAGATCTTACTGATATTCCTTTATCTTAATATTTCCATCCGGTAAGTGGAACAAAGTTGTACCAGAACTGCCCATTCTCACATACGTAATTATTTTTAGTCAAAATTCACTTTATAGCAGTGAGCAGCTTATGATGATGAAAATTATCATGTCATGCATCAAAGTTTTCAAAACTGATTTCATTATATAGGTAGAGGATAATTACTGGAAATTTATCAGCTTTGAAGATGCAAATTCAAGTAGGAATGTCTACTAATATCAATTATATCTTAGATTAAATATACAGAAAATTAATGGGAGAGAACTAAAGGAAAGTTATGCGTGTATGTTATGGACAATGTCTAAAGTCTAGCCAATTCATGAAATGGCTGGCCAAAGCCCAAAATATACAATAATTTACAATTAATTCAGGTTTTGGCTGGCCAAGATGGACTTAGTTGAAAAATTGGGAAAGTATTTCGGAGATTGTTATGAATAAAAATAATTTAGCTTTGTGAATGATATTTTTCTGTTAACTGGCAGTTTAAGTAATAAATGAGAAAAGGTTCAATGTCACAAAAAATTAATGTTTTAGTTTAAGCATATCTTTGAAAAATTGTATTATAATATTAAAATTGTTTTATTATAAGAGTAATACAAATATATTTATTATTAATTCATTAAAACTTGAAATTAGTAATAAAAAGATCATACCATTTGGCAATTGTTATCCTTTTCAAGTAATGGAACAATTACATTTTTATTAGTGTTATGAAGATCATGAATGAATATTGACTTCTGAAATGAAAATGCAAGAATAAAAATCATTTTTTTTAAATTCTTAAATTTTTTTAAATGCATATTTTTAATTTTCAGATATTAAAAATTATATGAAAAATACATCTACATTGAGATAAACTAAATTAATGTAAATATACATGTAGATAACTTAATAAGCATTATATATCATACATATAAACCATGCCATCATAAAATTCATTTCTTATATTACAAAAAAGACAACAATTTTAAAAATAAAACCAACTTTATTGGACCACAGTTTACAAAATTACAATCCAAAACACTATTGAATTTATGGATCCATCTTTGGAAACACACATGAAGTCAAAAGTTTAAAATACTGTATTTTCTCTATTTGTTTCTTTCTGAGGTCATGAGCTTGAAAATATGAGTCATGATGCTTTAACTATAAATGCCCATTGTGGGCCTAGTTAAACCACAATAAGTATGAAAAAACTGCCCTCTTTTACAATAGGGTGGAACAAATCCAAAAAGAAACTAAACTCAAAGTGAAACATTATGCTTATTTATAGTAAACTTTCTAAATATGTAGTTGATTTATTTCTGATTAAGACATCTTATTTTATGTAATAGTGGTTCATTTTGTACATATTTGAACTGTCACAAAAAGTATTGTCATAAACAACAATAATTTGGTAAGTTTCAGAAAATTTAAACAAAATTAAAATATTTAATGAGCACTTTCACTTGTTTCACTCAAACTTCACAGAACATTTAAATAAGAATAACAGAATTTCCTCTTTAAATTTTCTGATGAAGCTTGGGTGAAACAAACAAAAGCATGCATTAAATATTTTAATTTTTAGTTATATGAAATTTATGAAACTTACCTAGTCCTGATGAGTTTTAGCATCATTATATACTTACTAACAATAATTTGGTAATTATAATTAAAGAGATGTATACTAAACAAGATGGAAATTAGTTAGTTTATTATATTACTAAATGTATGAAATCTCAATATTTAAGCCTAAATAAAAGGTATTTAAAGTAGACAAAAATATTAGATTTGAATTTGTTAAAAATATATAGATTTTTTTGTTGTTTGAACATAACATAGATGTCAAGTTCAATAAACAGAAAGTGATATATATCATTTAAACACTGACTAGGACTCAGAAATGAAAATCTAGACAACTTGGACTTGCCAAGTCTCAAAATACCAAATTTTACAAAGTCCTACTTATATCCATCACAGTTCATTAAAGTTATTTTTTCTTTTTTCGCTATTATAATAATTATATCCTTCCAATTGCTCCTTGTATTAGTCTTAGAAGAGTTTTAGTAGGGGATAGACTGATAGACTCTTACACTATTTTTGAATAGTCAGAAGTACGTGCTATTCCTTTATCACACTTATTTGACAATTCAAATCTTTTATATAATGGAACATCTTTTAAATAGTTGATAATGCAGATTTGGTATTGTAATTTTATGCTTTAATAAGGCAAAATTTATTTTTGATAATGAAGATATTAGATCAATATATAAGCTACTAGTTAATTTGTAATACAGACAACTCATTCTTTTGTGCATAATAATTTGATACCCTTAAATCATTTACAACCAAATTTGGATTTCATTTTCAATACATTTTCAGTTGACAAACAAAAATTTTGTGCTGTTCTGCAAGGGTGCTTCCTATTAGTTTTTGTTTCAGTATCATAAAATATAGAAAACAGGCAAAAAAATTTTATTTTCAAAAATGATTTCTTCTTGAAAATAAAATTTTAGTGTCTGTTTTCTATATTTAATCTACGGTTTTAGCATTTTAAATGTTTTGTGCAATGTATGTTATTCACTATTAAAAACTAAATCTTTTTTCAATAAAAGCTTTTGTAATTTTTAGCTTCTTAGGAACAAAACACTTTTTTATAACAGTTAATCTAAAGNTCTGTTTTCTATATTTAATCTACGGTTTTAGCATTTTAAATGTTTTGTGCAATGTATGTTATTCACTATTAAAAACTAAATCTTTTTTCAATAAAAGCTTTTGTAATTTTTAGCTTCTTAGGAACAAAACACTTTTTTATAACAGTTAATCTAAAGTTAAAGACTATGTATATATCATAAAATGAAGTTAATGTGGCATATTTTTTTGAAATCTTCAAATTCAAGAAATTATCAATAAATCTTAAATAAAATACATAGGCTGTTTTTTTTCCTCCAATAGTCCATAAAACAAAGACTGGTTATCCAACTGGTTACCCAAATTATGGATTTAACCAGAGTGATCCTGATCAAACCCATAATAAATATAACAGTATTTTTTTCAGTTTGCAAGTATAAAAGAGCAGTAAATAAATAAATCTTTATTATAAAATTCAGATTCATTGATAACATGCCTCATTGAGATAAAAAAATTATCTTTTCAGTCCTAAAAATAAAAGCTTAATTGCAAATAAAGAAATTATTATTTATTGAGTATATAATACTATACAAAAATTTCTTACATTTAGATGTAATGTTTTGCAAAAGCAATTTTCTTCTTCAATTCTGCATTCAAAAGTATTATTTAGAATTTCAGCCCTAACCCTTTGATAAATACATAAATTGAATAAATTGCAATACAACTGAAGATCGACATTAAATCTATAAAGAAATATAAAAATTAGATAGAAACAAAATTCAATTTAATGTATAATTCATTTTATTTTAAATGCTTTTTCCTTTTGTTAAGGTTTATTTCTTAATAAGTTCATAAAATTTTGACTCTAAGCAGGAATATTTATAAGTAATTATTTAAAACAATTTTAAACATAACATCATACACATTTTTTGGTTGTACCCAAACAACAATCTTCCTTAATGTACATAAATTTCTTTCAGCATCTATGGAAAAAATAACAATATTTTAAAATTTTAATATTTTTTATCATCATTGTAAATTATGTTAAAATATTCAGTTTACAAAATTTACAGTAAAATCTGTATAAACCAAAACTGCATGGGACCAAATATTTTTTCTCTGGTAAGTTTTTATTTTGAACAGATTTCTTTTAATCTCTTAGAAAATTGTTCCATTCCAAAGAACTTTTTCGGTTTAGACAGGTTTCTGTCATATTCAGGTTCCATTTTGGAAAGGTTTTACCATATAAATTTTAAGCTTTTTTCTTCCTATTATGCAGTCACTAAAAGAATTTCATGCTCATCATGGATTTGGACAGGTCAGTAAATAGGCAGCTAAGTGGTAACAAATAAGGTCTGACATAGAATCAAACCAGTCATGAAAATTTCTGTCTGACCCAAACTCAAAGCCATGCTTCTCAGAACAGTTAGCTGATGCCTTTATTGTTTTGACCAACCAGCTATTAATAAATTATTATTATTATTATTATTATTGTGATTATTTAAAATTTTCATTACTTTGCCTTTATTAGTAATATTGTTTAAATTCCAATAATATAAAAATTTGAATTTTAAGCTTACTGACATATTAATAAATCTGGCTCTTAGATAACATATTACTTGTAAATTTGTGAATTTCTTGGGCAAATAACTTATTGAGAAAATAGGAAATGACATATTTAAAATTTATTGAAATGTTGCTATTGTTATTTCTGTTAACTAATTTATAATGTTATTTTATTCTTAATTTAGATTCATCTTTGAATATAAAAGATGTTTGATCTCTAAGTACAATACAGTTCTAAACATGATGATCTTGTATCTATGATTTAGTAACTATATTAATATATCTTAGTAAAAATATCAATTATCATTATTTGAAACAATGCAAAATGATAGTAATTGGTTTGAAATGATACGAGTGGACTTGTCAATAGAAAATTTAAAATCAATTAATTTATAAAATTATTTAATTTTATAAATTAATTCATAATTCATTAATTCATAATTTTATAAATTAATTCATATACAAAGTATATGAATTAATATCCATACATACCAATTAGAACCATGCATACCAATTAGAACCAACTGAAATAATTTAAGATCAATAGCTCTTCTACCTGTCTTAAGAAAATGTTTTACGGCAATCTTAGCAAAAAGATTTCACCGATGGCCCAGTGAAATGGACTTAGAATCCAAATTTCAATATGCATATGTAAGAAATAGAGGTACTGAATTTGCAATATTTTTGCTGCTATTAATAATTCAACTCCACTTGTCAAAAAAACATGAAAACCTATTTACAACTTTCATAGATATTGAAAAAGCTTTTGATACATTCTATGTACTACTTTTGGTTCAAAATTTGAGAGACAAAGGAACAGGCAAAAAGTTTTTGCAGACAGTGCCTAAATTATTTTCAGATTATAATACTAATATCATTCAAGGAAACAACAATCTCCTTTATTTAAATTATCTTATGGAATTCTACAGGGTGATCAGCTTTCTCCATACTTAACACACCACACTGGGATAAAGTTAATAATATACACTGAAGCAACAGCAGTTATTCTCTATACCTGTGTCTCTCAATTTTTAATAATTTATGATATTTGACTATAATAATAAAATTAATAATAATTATATCTTACTTGATAAAGGAGAAACTTTCCATGTGATATTCAGGTAATTTTTTGATTCATTTGATAAAAGTTGTATTGAATCAATTTTTGGAAATGATAAGATACTGAATTTATAAGAATAAAAATTATCTGAAAGATAGAAATCAATAAATATTTAACTTTACAGACAAATTCATAAATATATCTAATTATTTAAACTGAATAAAGTAAATTATATTTTATAATAATTATTTGTAAACATTGGAAAAGCAATAATGTAAGCAGAGCATACAGTTCCAAATTTTTCATGTTTTTATTCAATCTCATCTAAACAAACTCATTCGCATGAACTATAACTCACAGATTTGGCAGTCTCAAAATCAATCAGTCAAGCAAGCTCAACCGAGAAAAGAAATACATCATTCTTGCTAGACTAAGTAAATCATCAGACATTTAGGTTCATGGCTGCTAAAATTCAGGTAAAATGGATAAAATGCTAAAATGGAGGTATTTCTACATTGCAGTGATTATATTGTAGACTAAGTGATGCTGTTTAGGTGTGTGACCGAGCTGCAAGTCATTTTGGCATGTTTAAGGCATATTAAGCTTATTTTAGAAACTTTTTAGAATATGACTTTGTTCTATTCGATGATCATGCCATAAAAAGAAAGTTTATCTGAAACAACAATTGATCACCAGTTTATCTGAAACAACAACAGCACACTATTGTATAGTGTGACGAAACGTGCACTGGTAAAAGGCTTATAGATACGTGCATTTGAAACAAATTCGACAATACCAAATAAAAAACTTAAAATTGACAATGAACATTTATTTTTCAGTTTTTGCAATGATTTTGTAAGCCATGTTAAAAGTCTGTTTTGATTTGTACATAAAAAGTGTGAAGCATTTATATGAAAGAGCTGGAATTGAGTCAAGGAATACTTGAGTTTTATACAGTGTTGTTATCAGTGAGCCACCTTTTCAAAATTGCTGACCAGGTCATTTTAAAATTAAAATGTTATACCAAGGCATGTGCAATGTCACTTTACAGCCAAGAACTGAACAATGCGCATGCCAGTTTTAAACTAGTTAGGGACTTGTGTTGGAACAAACCTAATATTTACAAAATACTTGCAAATATTTTTATAAATTCATTTTGTTTCATCATAATTTCACAATTTCTACAAAAACCGGACAAATTAACAATTAATCCAGACCATGAATTTAAAAACCAGCCTGGTGGCAATACTAGTTATTATACAGTTGGCTGTATTTTTCAAGTTTTTTTTGTCCATTGCATTGTGTTGAATTCTTTATATGTAATGCAATGTATTCAGTTCTTTATATGATGAACGTTACTAAATTAAATTAGAAGAAAATTTGATTTAATTTATTAATTTTTTATAAAGCATAATAATGTGTAATGTTTAAAAATATAAAGTATAATTTAATGAAAAATAAAGCATAATGTTGATTGCCCTACTTATAGTTGAGGAGTTCTATGGAATAAAGTAGTTAAGTGCACTTACAGGTATAAGACAAAATAATAGGAACACCCCTTTCAAAATGTGTTGTATTTCGACTGTCCAACACAGCCCCACCACGTGTCACAACAGTCTGCCATCCAGTGGCAGTGAAAGGGAAGGTATCAGTCGAGCATTTGGCAGTGTGACAGTTGCATGAGAAAATTCTCTTCCCAGCAAAGTGCTATTATGTCTGACCTGTCCGACGTGCAAAGAGCAGCGGCGGCCTTATCCATTGCAAGGCTCTGGGCGGCAGATTTTTGCGAGGCCCTTGTCCTTTATGCAAAGTATGTGAATTGAAATAGTAGGCACTTATTAATATTAATACATACTGTACTATGAATTAAATTTATTTTATTGTTATAACTAATAGCCAAGGATAAAATAAAAAGTTTTAAATATCAACTTTTTTCTGCTTGGTTGTTGCGCGAGGCCCCGGGCGATTGCCCTTCTCGCCACCCCTTAAGGCCGCCACTGGCAAAGAGGCATGATTATTGGAGCTCGACTCACTGGAGCGTCAGTATCTAGAACAGCAACCTTATGGGTGTTTCAAGGTCCACTGTGTCAAGGGTTATGACAGCCTACACAAAACTGGGAATCGTGTCTTCTGCGAAGCAGAACAGTGGGCAAAAGTTGAAGTTGACCAACCGGGATAGACGAGTGTTGAAGAGGATAGTTGCCCAAAAACGTAAGACTACACTGCAGCAGATAACCTCTGAGATGAACACCCATCTCCAGAACCCTGTATCCACCAAAAGTATTCAACGAGAGCTGCATGCTGCGAGCATTCATAGCTGAGTAGCCATTCCAAAGCCGTTAGTGTTGCCACAGAATGCTATGAAGCGACAACAGTGGTGCCAAGACCACAAAAACTGGACACAACAGCAATGAGAACAGGTCATCTGGAACAGGACTTTCCCCTTGCTATAATAAGCACTTTATTCACATGTATTTAACATTTATATTTTTATCACTTCACAACAAACCTCATGCAAAAAGAACAGTTTTTTGAGAATTCCTGAAAACATCAAAATTTAACTTACCTTTTACCAAAGAATTCTTCAATTAACATCCTCTATTATTGTTTGTTAGTAATCTTGCCAACTCCTGAAGAGTTGATTCCATTTATAGGAGTGAAAAATTTTGGGAGATTTGAAGTTTTTTACTCTCAGCAATATCAAAACACTATTATTTAGTTGTTTTAATAATACCTAAAAGTTGATTGTATTTTCATGTAAATATGGGAATAGGCCTTAATTGAAGAGTCTGACAATTTAAAGATTTTTGCAAAATTTTGGGAGTCTCCCACTGAGTTATCAACTAGTACCATAAATAACATAAATCATTTTTGAATGTGAAAAGTGAAATTACATTATTGAAATTTAATAACAAAAATGGTTGACAATAATATTCATATACTCACTTGGTGAAAAATCATAACACAAACTTTCTTTTGTTTGACAGAATTTTGTATTGAATTCATTCTGTAAAGAATTAACAATAAAGATAATTATTGCATGTAAATTAATAATTAAATTTACGTTTAGATAAAATACAAAAAGTCTTAAAATTAAAATTACATATAAGATGATAAAGTGTATGACAATTTTAATATCTTATTTCAAATGTTATCAATTAAGGATAATTTAAGAAGTGTTTATTCATTTCTGTATTTGTTACACAATTATTTATAAATTTATTCATATTTATTTTACAATATTTAATATATTAAAAATATTTTGTTTTTTTCTGCAAATGTAGAAGATGCAAAATCTTGTTTCCTACTTAGTTCTCAACAATTTATATTTGAAATATGAAAGGATGGACTTCATACTTTATGAATTATGATTATTGTGTCAATGATGATGATAATACAAAGGTATTGATTAAAGCATTCAATTTTTTCCACATGAATATCATTTGCAAAATACATTAAAAATAGTGGCATACTATAAATATTGGCATTAGAGTAATATCTCAATGGTAAACTCAATGGATGATGATTTGAACAGGGATCTGACACAGTGTAGTTTCTACTGAAAATGTTTAATAATATATGACAATTTACTTTGGGCAATTATAATGAGGAAGTTTTTGAATTCTGTCTTATAGCAATCAACAGGGCAACTGCTAGCAACTGTGGGACCTGGGTCAACTAAGAAATGCAGGCCCCCTTCTAAAATATACATTATTTAACTTTTACTTTCCTAGCTGTTACATATAACAGAAGGAAAGTATGGTGATCGGTCAAAAATTGATCCCTCAAGATATTAATATTTTTTGGACTCAGGACACCTTGAAATGTCGAGAAATCCAGAAAAATTTGGGGTTTTTTCTGTGTGTGTGTGGGGGGGACACTTTGTTCACCCTGTTTGAAGTTTAATAACTCGTGTGCTTCTTGTCTAAAATTTCTGAAATTTTTCGGGGAGGTTTGTTTATTAGGGGAATTGATGCTATTAAAGGTTGAGGGGGTAGGGAGATAAAGGGGATCGTGTATATCTCTAGTAGGGTGAAACTTAATGAGGATTTTACTTATTAGCATTTACAAATTTTTTAAATAAAATCCATCCATATCCTCAAAATTAAGCTTTTTGCCATTTTATAATAGTTAAAAATATAAAAAGTTTTAAAAATAAAATATGATAACAGATGGCGCTACCAAATGTTGCTGGAAAAGCAACTCGTTGAATTTTTATAATTTTTTGCAAAAAAGAACATCTAAAGTAAAAACAAACATATTTCATTAATCTAAGTATACAAAAGATGCAATAATAAAATTACGTAGATTATATAATTTAAAATGCCATATTACAAAAGTTGTAAAAAAAATTTAGAGACAAAAATGAAGAAAATTACAATAATGCAATTTTTAATCTCTTCTTCCTGTTAGAATGTGACTAAATATTCTCGATTATTAGTTAATTATAAATTATCCAATTAAGTATTTAGAATTTGTTTAGACTTAATTAAATTAGAAATTATTTTAAAAAGTATTTTGTTTAATTTAGTAATTTGTGCACTGTATTTCCTCGGATTCTTAGGGACTTCCATAAATTACGTTACGCAGATATGGATGTATGGGTGGGGGGAGATGCAGGTAATCGTTACTCCTCTTCCTTTGTAATGTATCGTATTTACAGAAACGTTACATAATGCTGGGTCTTTAAATCGACTGGTGTTGTTAAATATGTAAGAATTAAACTACCGGTAGTTTTTCGCAAAATGGCGACAACGTACCCCGTGCTTTGTATTATTCTTTAATACAATTAAGGGGTTTATCGAGGATACGCGTTACGTAATTTCGGGGGGTAAGTATATTGGACAGCGTTAGGGATCGTTACGGAAGGTATAGGATGGCAGTTGAAAAGTATAAATATAGCGACATAAATCGATGTAAAGTGCCGTAATTTATGGATGACACCTTATTAATCTTTTATGTTTTTCTATTTACTTTTGTCTATTTCTTATCGGTGTTCTACGTTAACGTCGTTGTGATAACGGAGAAAAAACACTCGAGTGCTTCCTATGAGTCATGGGGAAACACATTTTATTTTTACGTGTCCCAACGTAAAAGAATTTTGTAATTGTTTACACGTATTCTCATAGTAAACGGATGAAGAGTTTTGTATTAACCCAAAAACGTCTGAGCTAGAGACATACTAGGTACTAAAATTCAACAACGGTAATTCCGGATCACTTGAATTTTCTAGCCTTAACCTTATTCTAATTCCCTACCCTTAATAATCATTAAAGATATAACATACGGAACAATTATTTACAACAGACTTCGATAAAATTAAATTTTCTTAACTCTAATTTTATTTTATTTTGGATCAATCAGTACCGGATTTACCTTCGAAGGAGCCCAAACAATTTAAATTTTTCGCTCTTGCAACTAAAAAAAAAAAAAAAAAAAAAAAGGAAGCCAGAAGAAAGGCAGAAACTGAAAGAAGAATTAAACTCATTTATTACTAACACACAGCTTATTACTTTATCGTGTATATTACAACTTCTGACTCTTCTCAGCCAAACTGCTCAAATCACATCATCAAAAGTCAATTTCTGCAATTTATCATTCTCAATAAACATAAGGCTTACATCTGACAGTTTAAAACATTTATTTTCGTACACCATTGTACGCAAATAATTTTTTCACATGTTTCAGTGTGTTGAAGGATCTTTCACCTGAACAGTTTGTTATTGGTAATGTTAAAAATATTTGCATGATGCTTTTCAACAAAAATTTGATCTATGTTTTCTTCATAACTCAACAAGAAAACTTAGAAAAAAAATAAAGGAGAGAGGGTTCCTGACAAGGCAGCTCTCAGCAGGTTCCCCAAGTAGATACTTGCTTTGTTTCCTGATAATTATGTTGAGGTACATGATTTTGATTTACACAAATCAGAAAAAAATTTCATTCCCTTCTAACATGATTTGTTTTTATCTAACATGATTGATCCAAATTCTAAAAATATTTATTTTGTATTACAATGCATTGATGCATGCTTCACATTATTCACCTTTATGCTGTTGTTTTTTGTTTCAATTGGAAAAGAAATTTCTGAGAAATGCCCTTAATTATATATATCACTTCAATCTTTTTTACACATGTTCTTCAGGAACATAACTATTGTGTAAAAACAGAATTAGATGTATATAAAATTTAGTTTTATATTTTTATTATAAGTCTAAAATGTTTCTAGTTTACTAAAAAGAAATACACATANCTTACTTACTAGAAGAGAGTAGGTTGTGTCCACAAAATAGAATAGCCTATAGCCTATATGACGTTTTGTGAATAGTCAAGGTCATTACCTGAATGCCCAAATCAGTGTGAATGTTTGCAACAATTGCAATGCTGCCAGATGCAAGAAAATAAAATTTGTTCATTTGAAAAATTACAAATAGGACATAATTCTGTACACGCTATACGGTATTATTATCCAGATGATGATCGCTGATCGAAACTAAATTCATAGGCCGTTGATAGTTTAGGAGTCGTCTTATGGGACAGATATATGCTAAAACTGTAAAACTTTGATGAAATTTATACCTTGTCTTATCTGAAGGTTGTCTTATCTGCAGAAATATACGGTACTTTATTTGTATATTTGTACGTGTTATTATTGCATATATATTGTAATTTTATATTTATGAGATTGCACACTAGAAAGTTTAATTTTAAAAATGTTCCAAAACAAAGTTCATTATATACAAATTGGAAGCATTTGGTTTTTGTTCTTGAAGAAAGTCATTAAAAATGATTGAAAGCATTCGAAGAGATAATAAAACAGCTGCATATTAAAAGGTTTTGTTTGAGATTTAGTTATTTCAACTATTTATATGTGAATCTTTAAAATGTTTCTTCAAATGAGCATAAAGAAGTCATATGACATTGAAAAAACATTTTTGACTAGAAACTGTTAAATCATTACAAATCATGTATGGTTGATTAAAAAATATTTTTTCATTCTAAAAGAAGTTATTAATTATTTTGAGAATGAATAAATGCACATTTGTATGAAATAAATTCCATTACAACAGTAAATATAAACTAGAAGAGGGAACTGTTCTTAATAAGAACATAAATAATTGTATAAAATATGTTTATTCTTATACAAAAAAATTTTGTGAAGTATTACTCTACAAATCAGTGAAACATTAAAAACATATAAACTGAAATTNCTGTCTTCCTCAATCAGTAGATCGCGGTCCCTAGAGTAATGCAATCGGGTATCTGGATAAAGACGAGCATTTTAATTATGAAAGCAGATGCCGGCTAAAGAAAAGATTGCAAAACATTACTTTAGATAAATTAATCTATTAATTATAATTTTAAGAGTGATCAAATGCGCATTTCTCCGATTTATATCCATAAATATAATAGGAAAAATGCACTTAGAATAACTAAACTTGAAGATATATTAAATAAATTTGAATTATAAACGTTTATATTTAAAATTATATAAATTACTTGCTAAAAATGTATATATATTTCCAAATTTTTGACTGTTACAAATTATCGATTTGATTTACATCCAGCATATTCTCTAAACAATTCCAAAAATGGACAGTTTCAATTTCTCAACATAAATAGCCACAAGTAAAGGAAGATATATTACCAACTTCACTTCATCTTTTTGGTTTTTGTACTGGAAACGAATATATTTCATTCTTTGTATATCCGTAACACAAAAATATTATAAATACTCCACAGCATCCCTAAGAGCAATGGTTTCCAGGAGACAAAAACCATTTTGAAAAATTAGTTCAAAAAAGAAGACACGCACACTTTTTAATTATTAAAATTTAAAGGATATCTTCTATTAAATAAAATTAATTAAAAAAGAAAACAATAAATCTACTTTATATAATTATTTAAATAATTTATACTCACGACGTTTTATTTTTGGATGAGATGAATACTAAGAAGTGGATATAAAATATTTCTGAGTTTACAAATGTAACTTCTTAGTACGTGAGG